AATATATATATATATATATATATATTGTTATGTCCATTCGAGGCATGGAAGTGGCTACCAATTGATTCTTCTTGGTGAGATAATGTGCTGCGGCTGATTGAGAGCAATTCAGTGGAGTCAAACGTTTGGGTCAGTTCTGCTTTGTGTGGTTCGGCTTTCGGTTCTATTTTGGTTTGTTATTTTGGATCTTCTTTAACTTTGATTCAGGTTAATTTTTTTATATTTTTCTGTAATTAAAATATTAACACCATTATATTGTTATTAATTATTTTTATTTTGTTTTTTTCAGATCTTTCCTGAGTAGTAGTTTGCTTCTTGTGGAGTGCGGGCGTGTAAAGATTATGACGAACTTCTGTTTTTGTAACCCACGAAAGAATCAAGACGAAGACTTTTAGTTTTGATTTTGATTTATGTTATTTAAATTTGTGAACAACATTATGTATGTATTATGTGACATTATGTAGTCGCATAATTTTTATTGCTATGAATTTTTATTTATGTATTGTTATAAATGGAACAACATTATGAATTTTCATCATTTGTCAACTTTTGTTTATGTATGTATTTATATTATTATGTAATTTTTGGATTTTTTTTAGTTTATTTTTCATTTAATACATGTTATGTTAATTTTTTTAATAATTTCCTAATAGGTTTTTTTTTTTTGAGACGGCATACCACCCGTCGCAAAAAAAATTGTACGAGGCTTTTGCGACGGCACCCATACTGTCGCAAAAGCTATGGAATATAATTGAAAAATAAACCTTTAGCGACGGCTCAGATTGCCGTCGCCAATAGTTATTAGCTACGACTCTTTTAGCGACGTCGAGAATAGTCATTAGCGACGGCTCACGTTGCCGTCGACTATAGCCAAAAGCGACGACACTTTTTAGCAACGAGATTTTTGGCGTCGCAAAAACCTCTTTTACCGACGGCAAGACTGTGCCGTCGCAAAAAAACCCAGATTTCTATCCATTATTGGCGATAGAAATTTGTCGTCGCAAAAGAGAAATTTTCCTGTTGCTAAAACAATGGCGACGGCACTTCCCGTCGCTAAAGGCCTTTTGTAACCCCTTGTGTTGCGACCCCTACTTGCCGTCGCAAAAAGAGATTTTACCGTCGCAAAAGGCTTTTGAGACGGCGTGCGGCAGTAATTGCGACGGCGTTTTGCCATCGCAAAAAACATTTTTTTTTGTAGTGGCAATCCTAAATACAACTTCTTTCTTTACGTTTTTTCTTTGAAAATGGTGGAAAGGAGTAGGGTGTGCGCCAAAAAAGAAGAGAGATGGAATGGGTGCATAACGGGGGAGAGAATTAGTGCAAGAGTTGTTGTAAGAGGAAGGGGTCGTAGGTTGTGTGATTGGAGAGGAGATGCAATGGGTCAGAGGGAAGGTTTTGAAGTGACCGGAATGAGTTATGACATTGTTAAGTTTATAATGGATTATAAGAGGATGGATAGATAAAGAAAAGTTTGAATTTTATTGGCTTCGTTTACAAGTTAGGTTGGTTTTTTTATTTTTATTTTTTTGACTATTTAAACTCCAATTAAAAAGTTCATTTGGGTTGATTTTTTTTTTATTTTTTGATTTTTATGAGAGAACAAATGAAATGATTATGACTTAAATCTGAAATTTTATTTGGTTGACTTCTCTATTTTATCTTTTTGTAATTTAAGTCAAAAAGCCAACCCAACTCGTATTCCAATCAACACCATACTCTTTTAAATTTTTTAAATAAGAATGAAACTATAAATAATAAATAAAATACAAATTGATGAGTGTAATGAGTTATTTTGTGATGTAAATATAAATAAGTTCTAATAGGTAGTCTCAATTCACACTGTCTGATTCTCAAAATGAATTATCAATTCTAGAAGCCTATGATCATCTTAATTATTATGGTACATATATTTAATCTTTACCATACTTAAGACTCATTTTGGAATGTGGGTTAAAAATCACTTCAAATCTTTTAATTCACTTCCCTCTCTCACAAAAAAAATTTAAAAAGTAACTTTTAAACATCTTTCTAAAATACCCCTTAATTATAACACACATTTTAAATTTGACTATAAATATTTAAAAAAAATAAAATTAATGGATATGCAGTCAAACTTATACAAGCCACAATGTTTTTTTTTTTTTTTTTTTTTTTTTGAGAATTATTCGTTGCTCCCAAGGCAACATGTCACATGTGACAGACAGGTGGTGCCTCACACCAATGAAAATGTGTCAATTAAGCCAGGTGTCAGTGGATCATGGCAAGTCAGCAACTACTAGTAACCTCAAACTTACTCTAAACGGCAACATAATAGTAACAGACGGACGGTTAATGCGTTAAACACTTGCTCATGTGACATTTTAAAGTGTTTAACATCTTAAGGGTCTGTTTGGTAACGTTTACGTTTTTAATTTATATTTACAAAAATTTTATAAATTGATTTTTGTTTATTTTTAGAAAAATATAAGCTACAAACGCATTTGGTAATTGACAAAATGTTTAAAAATTTTAAAAATACAAAAAAGAGTGAGAAATGGCAAGTGGTGGAAAGTGGCGGCGGAAGACGGTGGTGGAAAGTGGTGACGGTGGGTAGTGGGTAGCGGGTGGGGGTGGGGGGGGGGGGGAGCCTCTCAAAGGGTAAAAAGTGTAGCAAGTCCACGTCAAATGGTTTTTTGAAGTTGAAGCCTCTTTGTGTCCAGGAGAACGGCTGTTGCGCTGATTTGTGGAGAATCCATCCCGGTTGCTCCACGAGCTTCTTCCGGCGAGATCCACTCCTTCTGATTTGGCTTTTGGTGCCTCTTGCTCGAGGGCTACTTCAAAACTGGCCACACGGGCCTTTCATGGCGTTTGTCCGTTGAACTTTCTGAACGTTCTGAACGGGTTCAAAATCGAAAAACAAACGGGTTGAATCTTGAGGCTGAGAGCGATCCTAGGCTGCGCAGTCCCAAGAGCGATTCCACACAGGTCTTCACAGGGCCGCGTAAAAACATTTGTTTTTGAATGTTTTTGAGAAAGCGACGAATCGCTCGCGCCGAAGATAGTGTGGAACCAATCTGGATCAGGCCAGGATCCTTCCCAGTACTTACACCGACAAGCATGGTTTCATTCATAAAAAGGCTTAGCACGCCTCTCTTTCTCTCAAAATGATCAAGATTTTGCAAAACCCGAGGAATTCCTTCCTCTTCGTTTTCACCGCAGTGTTAAAGAGGTTTTGAAAAACATAGGTCAATGCAATGAGTTTGGCGCGCAGGAGAGCAGGCGAGATGTACTGTCAGTTCATTCAAATCCTCTGGCACAACGGTGGGTGGTAGTGGTGGTAGTGGTGGTGGTGGCAAGGGGTGGGTGGTGGTGGCGAGTGGGTGGCAGGTGGGTGGTGAGTGGTGGTGGCAGGTGGTGGCAAATGGTGGGTGGTGGTGGCGGCGGAAGACGGTGGTGGAAAATGGTGGCGGCTGATGGCTAGTGTTGGGTAGTAAAAAAAAAAAATTGAAAACTCAATGGAAACATATTTTTTGAATTTACATTTTTTAGCCAAATTTATAAACTGAGACTACTAATTTATAAATAAAAAATTAAAAATGTAAGTGTTACCAAACGGCACCTAAATGTTTCTCCGTTATTGCAAAGTTGCCGTTTGAAATGAGTTTGACTTAATTACTAGTGACTTACTCATTACTGACACCTAACTTAGATGGCACATTTATATTGCTTGGAATTTTCAAAGCCTTCGTTATCATGCTTCCCTCTATAAGATGTGCAGAACTCATGTTTTTATCAAATTCTTTGTGTTTTTTTTTTTTTTTTACTCAATTGTTGCTTTGAATTTGCATTTTGTAGGCATGGCTAGTATGACGACCTATGCTGGTTTTTATGAGCTATGCTCTCCTAAGCAAGGAGAGTATGTTTTCGTTTCAGCTGCCTCTGGAGCTGTTGGTCAGCTTGTTGGGTAGTTTGCAAAGTTATTAGGCTGTTATGTTGTTGGAAGTGCCGGAACCAAAGAAAAGGTGAGTGCCCCTCCACATTCCATTATGCTATTCATGCTAAAATAACCAGTTAGTGGTTGGCCCAGTCAGAACTATATTGATTGCTCAATCAATGTATGTGGTCTGACAACTTTTCCTTAGCTAGCATGTTTGCAGAACTCTCACAAATTTTGAAATTTTAGCCAAAGAATATTTTATGCTGGGTCAGAGCAAGCATGGTCACTGACTCTCTTCTTTTTTTTGTTCTTTTGTTTCTTTCTTTATTTTTCAACCAAGGTTGATCTGTTGAAGAACAAATTTGGGTTTGATGAAGCTTTTAACTATAAAGAGGACTTGGAAGCTGCTATGAAAAGGTGAGCATTTCATGTTCTTGTATAGAAATGCATAACAACACTAAAAGATTTAGAGCCTGAGTACATTGCTGGATGGAATGGCTGCTAATATGGACAACCTTGTTCAAGGAATGCCCCTTCATGAATAAAGCATGAAATTCTACAAGCCACCTTTTGACTTACCTTGTATAAAATAGATGGTGTCCAAAACTCAGCTCCTTGGGGTTGTTTGTTGAAGATTACATTTCTCTTTTCTTTTCTTTTTTTGAAAACTAGAAACTAAAACTTGTTTGGTTTATTGTTTTCATTTACAAAAAAATGGAATTGATTTTAAATTTCACTTTTTTTGGAAATGAAAAAATGGTGTTCACTTGTTTTCAAAACAAGTTTTCATTCTCTCCTCCTCCTCCACGTCTGGCCACCATCTACTGTTGCCACCACCCACCTACCAGAAAACAAGGAATTGGCAACGTTAACAAACAATATATTTCTTCAGAAAAGTGTTGGTCTTTTTTTTTCTTTTTTTTTTAAATCTCAATTTTCCCAAATTCAATATCTTCATTATCTACCCCTCCGATTAAACTTTTTCTCAGGTACTTTCCGAATGGCATCGATATTTACTTTGAAAATGTTGGAGGAAAGATGCTTGATGCAGTACTTCTCAACATGAGACTCTGCGATCGCATTGCTTTGTGTGGTATGATCTCATAGTACAACCTTGAACATCCCGAAGGTGTTCACAATTTGTTCTGTCCTATCATAAAATGAGTCCGTATGGAAGGATTTATAGTTCATGATTACTATCACATGTATCTGAAGTTTCTGGACATGATCTTTCCCCACATAAAAGAAGGAAATACCACATACGTGGAAGACATAGCTGAAGGCCTAGAGAGTGCCCCAGCAGCTCTTATTGGGGTTTTTGCCGGTCATAATGTCGGCAAACAGGTAGTGGTTGTTGCTCGTGAATGATGATGTTGTTGATGTCCTGACAAACCCTAATGTAAATTCTTAATATGCTTTGACTAAACTTATTAGAGAAATGGTTTCTTACTGGGATGTTGCTGCTAGAAGCTTTTTTTTTTTTTTTGAAGTTTTAATCAATGTATGAGTGTCAAGGAAGTGTGAGTGTGAGTGTGTGAGTGTGAAGATAAGTATGATGGGCTGTATATGCTTTGCCCTATTTGTTTCCTAGTTTGTGAACTTTTGTAAGTTTCTTCATTACTCTTTACTTTCGGTTTAATAAATATGAGTGTGATGTTTATTTATTATGCTTTTAATTTTTGATATTCGAAAATTAATGATAATTTGCAATATATATCTGATTTAGAAGAAGAATTCAATCGCTTAAGAGTACTATTATAAATCACTTCCGGTCAATCTATCATTACTTATAATTGAATAATTTTTACTATTAAAAGACGAATCAAGGTTGAACAAATTTTTGTAAAGCGTCTCCAAATATAGTTATAATATTTAATTTTGATTTAATTTTTATCACTAGGATAAGTACCATGGGCCTTATTTGGTACCCTAAACTGAAAGTAATTATATTTCTTAGTTCTGTTTGGGTATTTTCTTCCAACTTTCAACCCTTAAACACTTTCTTTGTTTAAGTGACTGAATGAAATGAGATTAACATTCCTAAGATTGTGAGTCTTAGAATATTGTGGGTGTTTGGTGTAATTTAAAAATAATTTATTTTAACTTTTAGCTTAATTTAAGTTGAAACGGTGTGTTTGATGTAACTTACAAGGTAGCAACTTATAACTTATTGCAACTTAAATATGAAAAAAAAAAAAAATTGATTTCAAAAAGCATCTCAAGGGGTGCTTTTCAAATTCAAATTTTACGGGAGCTTCTATCTACACACACCAAATCCCCTCTTTGCACATCCTTCTCACTACACACACCAAAAAAATTAATTCCTAATTATTTTACTCACTGCACACACATTTCATTCCACATCTACCCTCTCTCTCACACACACACACACACACACCCAGATCGACCCTCAAACCTAGCTCTCCCAACGGTGCAAATACGCCCATTAAAGCTACACTGCATCTCTCACATTACCCTTCTTCACATATTACCCATCTCTCCCCGTAGCTCCCTACTTCACACAGCTTTCATCCCCAAAGAAGCATTGAATTCCAGCACATTTTCAATCCTCATTCGTAGTTAGGTTAGTTTACTTTTCAATCCTCATTCCTATTTGAATTTGTAATGTAGAGTTTTGTATTAAACCATTTTCAAAACGAACAAGTTGTTCGGAACTGGTTTTCCGAAATGGAACAATTTGTTCTGACGTAGAAATCCGAAAATAATCAATAATTTCAACAGTAGATTTCTGAAAATTGTTCATTGCTTCGACAATCAACTTCCGAAAATTTTGAATTTGGACAACACTCAACTTCCGAAATTAAGTTTTAGTTTCGATTTTCAACTTCCGAACATAATATGTAGTTTCGGTTTTCAACTTCCGAACAGTTTTTCCCCCCTCTCTTTTGTATATTCTTGTTTCAATTGTATAGTCATTAAACATATTATTTTTTTACAAATAATATGGATTCGGAATGTCAACAACGTGTCCCACCTACTGCTTCAAATAGACGACGTTGTGAATTGGATGTTGACTATGAACGGAGACGAGGGCGTGGGCGAGGACGAGGTCAAAGTCGTGGTCGAGGTCATGATCCAATTTCGGTAGAATATGATATCCCCAGTGTCAATCAAAGTCAGAGCCGAAGCCAAAGATGAGTTCAAGGTTATGATATGCCTGACATTGCTGTGGAGGATGCCTCTTTACCCGATTCTTCTACTGTCCAGGAAGAGGACCTTACTCATGATTTTCCAGGTGGACCGACTGATCCATCAATACTGCGGAGTTTCAATAGTCATGTCGCTGCAGCTGTTTGGCACGGGGAGGTAAACATTTCTAAGTAAAAGTGAAATTCATTTGTATATGAATTTTTTGTGTGTGTGTGTGTTGTATGGTAGTTTCTAATGGGATATTATTTGTGTTATAGGAATGAGGGCCCCTAAAGTTCATAATCACTCTTCGAAGATCCTTGCATGGCCATGGTGGTCAGTAGACAACAACACCAGATTCAAAGCCATTATTGAGCAGTCTGGGCTGACACAATTAGCTCGTTGCACTTAGCAGTTCGTCAACAAGTTTCTAATCTCCAGTTTGTTGAGAGATGGCAACCTGAGACGAACACATTTCACATGACAGTTGGTGAGATGACCTTGACCCTGGATGATCTTGGCACTATTCTTGGCCTTTCCATTGTAGGCAAATCAATCAGCGTACCAGATGTGACAAATCATCATGGAGTTACACTGCTGGTTTATGGCTTGGGGATTACTAAACGTGTAGCACATGAAGAGGTTTCTACTTCTGGTGGGAATTCAGTCAGGCTTGAGTGGTTGCGAAATTAGTTTGCTGGTGTCACAGATTCAGACCCAAAGGAGACTATACAGTGCGCTGCTAGAGGTTATTTGTTGTTTCTGTTCGGATGTACGCTCTTCAGTGACAAGAGTGACGGCAGGGTTCCTGTTGTTTACCTTGGCTTATTGATGGATTTGGGATCCATTCATACTTACGCCTGGGGTGCTGCTGCATTAGCATTTTTATACAGACAGTTGGGGTACGCTAGTCGATCCGGTGTTAAGCAGATGGGTGGTTATATGACTCTTTTGGAGGCGTAGATTTATAAGTACTTTCGAGCATTCCGACCTCACCAGAACATGGGCTACAATGAAAACATGCCACACGTGTACCATTGGGCATCTAGGAGAGAGGCGGGTTCCTCCATTGATCATTTGAAATCTTTTCAAGAGGAGCTTGACAGTTTGGTAGCGACTGATATAAGTTTACTCGTCCTCAGATAATTTTAACACTTTCCATTTATCTTACCCTTCATATACTTTAATTCAAAAACACTTTACGTTTACAAGTTATTTGGGATCCATACCATAGTTATAGAGACTGACATCCATGTAACCCGGTTATGTTCTACCATGGATGCTTAAAGTGTTTAGACGTGGTCGAACCCTATCATCCAGATAGAGTTTTGAGGCAGTTTGGCAGGGTTCAAACCATCCCAGATGCACCGTTAGCTCCCAGTTGTGGTGCTCGAGGTAACATATCTGCACGATATACAGTCATGTATAGATACTTGGATAGGATCTAAGAGACTTGGGATAACCATGTGTTATCTGAGTAGAGGAGGAGCACACCAGTTCGTCAGCCTTGGGAATGTGTACCGGGTTAC